ATGATTATAATGTTCCTTAATGTAGTTTTCATCATGTTTTCTGCAACTGGAACTCATTTAGCTTCGTGAACATATAAATTTATACTTCTCATTAAGTTTATAAAATTTTTGATCACTGAGTCTTCAAATATTTATTTACTCACCTCTCCTCTCCTTTCGTGACTTCAATTACAGAGGTAGGCTGACGAACATCCCACGGCTCAATCATGTGCTGTTCATTTAATTTTTCAGTCTTTCCTCTTTGTGTTTCATTGTTGATAGTTTCTATTGCTGTGTTTTTAAGTTTACTAATTTTAATTTCTTCTTCAGCAGTGTCTAGTCTGCCCTTAATTTCATCCAGTATATTTTTCATTTCATTGTCATTTTCATTTCTTGAAGTCTGACTTGGTTCTTTTTATTTTCCATGTATGTCCTTAACATGTTCATGCCCTGATCCTGTTAAGGCTTTCTTTTAAGCTTGACAGGATCAGAGCAGCCTGAATTTATGAATAACCTGGAGCAGTAGAGACAATGTGCCTCTAGTTCACTCTAGCTGGTAAGAATACAAATTATGGGGGCACCTGGGTAGCTCAGATGGTTAAGCGTCTGACTTCAGCTCAGGTCATGATCTTGCGGTCCGTGAGTTTGAGCCCCGTGTCGGGCTCTGTGCAGACAGCTCAGAGCCTAGAGCCTATTTCAGATTCTGTGTCTCCCTCTCTCTCTGCCCCTCCCCTGCTCATGCTCTGTCTCTCTCTCTGTCTCAGAAATAAATAAACGTTAAAAAAATTTTAAAAAAAAGAAAAAAAGAATACAAATTATGTCTGGCCCTGTGAGAAGTGTTTTACCCGTACCTTTCCAGTGCTTTTCTCATGTACACACACTGATATACTAGTCAGCTGAAGACACAGTGGGAACCACCAGCATATTTGCAGAGTTCTTTTATTTCCAGTAATTTGTTTGCAATTTCTAATCATCATGACCTTCCCCCATTCTCAACTCTGTCTCTTCAACTCAGGGAAACCTCTAGGTTCAGTTTTGGTTTCCCCTACCTGCACTATGGCCTGGAAACACCATACAGTAAAGTAGAGCAATCACAGAGCTCATCTTCTCTGCCCACTGCCCTTTTTCTTTCTTGTTTTACTTACTTCATTTTGACATCTAGCTATTTATTTATTTATTTTTTTAATTTTTTTTTTTCAATGTTTATTTATTTTTGGGACAGAGAGAGACAGAGCATGAACGGGGGAGGGGCAGAGAGAGAGGGAGACACAGAATCGGAAACAGGCTCCAGGCTCCGAGCCATCAGCCCAGAGCCTGATGCAGGGCTCGAACTCACGGACCGCGAGATCGTGACCTGGCTGAAGTCGGACGCTTAATCGACTGCGCCACCCAGGAGCCCCGACATCTAGCTACTTAAAGCAAACCAATGTGTTAGTGTCGCAAAGCTGCTGTAACAATGTACCATAAACTGGGTGGCTTAAACAACAGAAATATATTGTCCCAGAGTCCTGGAGGTTGGAAGTCCAAAATCAAGGTGTTGGCAGAACTGGTTCCATTTGAGGGCTTTACTGTAAAGGGAGGATTTGTTCTACCTTGACTTGTAGGTGCTCATCTTCTCCTTGTCTCTCTACATCATCTTTATGAATATCTGTGTCCAAACTTCCCCTTCTTATGAGGACATCAGTTATACTGGATTAGGGCTCATTCTAATGGCCTCATTAAATTTGATTGCCTCTATAAAGACCCTAAAATCAGTCCTAAAATCCTATTGATAATTGTTAAATTGATGTCTATAAAAATCAGTTTAGTATAACGGCTAGAGGTGAGGACAGTGGAATCAGACTGCCTGGGTTTGATTATGGTGCTACCACTTCCTAGTTCTTTGTCTTAATATCCTCATCTATTAAAACATCTATGAACATACTAATTTTACAGAAATAGTGTCAAAATACATAGTGCCTGCTAAATAATATACCTTCACTAAATGTTATAATGTTAAACTTAATATAACTAACAATAAATGTTAGTTAACACAGTAATTAGAAAAAATCTCATCATTAGAACATGAGTAGTTACCTAAACCAACAGAGAGCTTGAATGGCCTTGATGAAGGAGATTAGAGAATTTACATACAAAGACCACTTCATTGATTCCATTTTCCGTGATGTCAGAAGTACTATCTTCTAGCTTTTTAAACTTAAAGTCTTTCCTTAGTGGCCCCCTCTCTCTACATTTTTACATATAGCTGCCAAAGCTCAGTTTTCTAAACCTCACTTTAAGTCACTTCTCTGCTTCAGAATCTATAAAATCTACTCACAGATTGCCATATTAAAACCTAGATTCCTTTGCCTGGTTTCTGAAGACTTTTGAAAACCCAGCAGTGTCTTGGCACAACTTTATCTCCTAGTCTACTTTACACTTGATCTTAGACAGAAGACTGAGAAGTGATCTCTCCTAGTCTACTTTAGCCTCTTCTTTACTGGGCAGGCTATTGTCTTCTATCCTCCTTTCAAGACATGTCCATTCCGGGGGGATTTCCAGCCTTATTTTCTGCAGGCATCTATCACCCTTTTCACTTGTTATTTTCCACCCTTCTCTTTCTAGTGCCTAAATAGCATTCATTGTCCAGTTCAAATCTTTCATTCATTTACACTTATTTACATGAACATTTATAAACATGTCTTCCATGGAACATGCTGCTCTGGCTGTTAAGGATTCAGGAGCAACTGGAAGTAAAGGAACATTCCTGAGTGCTGCATTTACCAGAGCTCTCCTTTCTCTAAACCTTTAGTAAAATTGCAGTAAGTTTCAGTACTTATTTTTGTATTGTTTTATCTATATTAGTTCTGTTTCATGTCTTCATTCAATAGATATTTTTTGTACAATTATTCTTTACTAGGCAGTCTGCTAATGATACAGTGGTAAACAAGACAGACATAGTTCCTCATGGAAATAAAAGTCTGGTAGAGAAAACAGTGAAGAAGGTTCAATTACAGATGTAATGAGTATTACACAAACAATGTGTAGAATCTAGAGATGTTTATAACAGGGAGAATCACCCCAGTTGCTTATCTGACAAAATGTCATCTAAGCTGATTCCTGAAAAATGAGTACGAGTTAGATAAGTAATGAATAGGGAAAGTATGCATCAATAAGGAAATAGCTTGTGCAAAGGCTTTAGGGCAAAAGAGAATATAATTGAGAGAATAAGGAAGACTATGGGTATCAACAAAGAATAATAAGTAAGAGGAAAAATGGAATAATGCCATGAATAAAAGAAACGACCTTTTCAACTACAAAGTGAAGTAGAATTATTAGCCACAACATAACTCAAATGTCGAAGAATTGTGAGAGAAAAAAAGTGAGACTTGAAATAAACAAACATAAAATATGACTTGAAATAAAAACTGAATTAGAAGGAAATCAGTCTGCCAAATCAGATAAGAAAAATAAGTGATATATAGCTGGTAAACTTTATTGAAAACAAACTGTAATAAAGAATAAGAAATACAGTTACTGTTTTTGAAAAAAGATATCTGAACCTGCACAACCGTAAACCTAGGGGACAGATAAAGACAGATAATATTAATGGCAGTTGTCATAAATGTCTAGGTGTTACTGAAAAAACTATGGAGGCCTCACAGCTTTTTACAGATGTACCTTTATAAACAAATACAAAACACCATCTTGGAAACACCAAGGATGTTGAGGATGACATCTGATCATCTTACTTCTGGACAATATGCCACAACTTCTTGCCACAAGGCAAGCATAATGTTCTTATTCATCTTGGTATCTCACACCACAGAATATATTTAATGAATGAGAAATAATAAACGTTCAAATTTGAGAAATAAATGTATTTTCAAAGCATCTCTTTTAAGAGTATTTAGGGCACAAATATATGAAAATAGTTCATTTTAAAGATGTGACTCTACCTAACCTAGTCTAATAGTGTTTGATATTCCAAGATAGGACTATCTCACAAATAAAATCTGCTAATTGTATCACAGGTAAAAAAATAAATAAATAAAGCACACATTCTAGCTACTATTTTCTAGTGTCCAGAAAAAAGTCATTGCACTAAATGCCATAGGTAAAATCTTCACATAGGTTGTTCTCATAATGGTAAGCCCTAAATTAATAAATCCAGTAAGACATTTACGTGATTCTAAGAGAAAGTACAAAATGTTTATCGAATGTACAAATGAATAAGTGGATAAAAGGCTGAATGAAGGGGAAAAAAAGAAAGAAGGAAAAAAATGAAAAAAAAAGAGAGGGAAGGAGGAAATTACTTTATACCAGGAAATAGTGGAAGGAGTAATTGGGAAGTTTCCATCCTGTCTAATAAAACAACAAATTTTAACCATTATTATAACAAACTAAGTTTCAAAATAAGATTTTTCTTTCCTTTTTTTTTTTTTTTTAAGATTTTTCTTTTAAACCACAATGATAATACTATTGGACATTTTAGAACGGGTTTTAAGAAATTTAAATTTAAGAAAGGCTTCACAGGGCAAATAGGCAATGAATAGTTTACATAATTCTGTTAATGTATGTGTAGCATGCAAAATTTCATTTTAGTTATAAAACACAGCTTAATTCAAGACGAAAACATTCATTTGCTTTTGAAACCTTAATTAAAATTCATTTTGGGAGTTAATGGTTAGACGTTAAGTATAGTCCAAAACAAGGTATATTTACAATAAGAGGGGAAAATGAAAAGATCCCACCACCAATATTACAGATATAAAGTTAATTTTATACCTTAATCAAAATGTAAATCTATCACTGATTATCAAAAGCACAATCAATGATACATCTAATGACTAAGTAAATCACATATATAACATTTTGATTTTCTGTCATGAAATTCCTCATCCTTGATCTACGTCATACAGTATTATGGGCTGATTTCACTGTCAATTAACTAAAAAATGAAATTTACATATAATAACAATATTTTTCATCTTCAATTATGTATTTAACAATGAAAAACATTCCTTCATGGTAAATCTTACCTCATTGTATCTGTTGCTGGGAATTTTGATACTGGTTTTCCGAACTTCCATATCAACCACCAGACCTTGAACTACTGGCAATGTATACTGGTAATTTCTGAAGTCCTGGGCAAAAGCAGATTGAAATGGAATAAAGAATTCATCAATGGTAAGATCTGACTGATAGTAGTAAAATCAGAACAAAAGGAAAGAATGTGAAAATTAAAAGAACTCATTTATTTAAATAATAAGGAAATGTATAATGAAAACCCTCATGTGTATATTCTAGCTCTCCAATTAGACTATAAACTCTTATAAGGAAGAAGACCAGTTGCATATACTCTCTATATATTATATTAAACAAATATTTGAATGCTTATTCTGCTTTAACACCACTTAACATTTTCTGGATGTCACCTGCCTCCTCCCTCTAAAGTAAGCTCCAAGAAGGTATGGACTCTCACTTGTCTTCTTCTTGTTATATCCCAAATGCCTGTAACAGCCTAGGCACCCAATGAATATTTGTAGGGTAAAAAATACATATACACACACCACATCCAGTGTGGCTGAAGCAAAGTGATGAAGAGTGCAAGGAGCTGATGTCAAAGTGACAGCATACAGCTAGATTTCATATGGTCTTGGAGGCCACCACAAACACCTGTGCCTTTACCGTGAGATTTTTGACCTATTTTAACAGATCTCTCTGGCTTCTCTGTAAATAGATGGTAAGGGAACAAGAATAGAAAGAAGGAGATCAGATAAATGTAACAAAAATAATTCAGGCAAGAGACAGTGATAATTTAGACCAAAGTGTTACCAATTCAAAAAGTGGTGAGAAGTTATCAGATTCCGGGTACATTTTGAAGAGGAAACTGAGAATATTTGTCACTGGATTGAATATGGAATGTGGAAAAAAAAGCAAAATCAAAGATGATTATGAATTATATGGACTGGGCAACTACAAGACTGCCATTTACTGAGAGGCAGAACACAGTGGGAAAGGGAAGACAGCAAGTCAGAAGGCTGCAGGAGAAGAACCAAGAAAGAAAGGTGTCCAAAGAAACTAAGAAATGAAAATGTATAGATACGGGTAAGTTGGATGTAACTGTGTGAAAATTATCTTCTGATTGCTTCTATTTACTCAGGGAAACTGGGGCTGGGACATCAGCAAAAAGTGAGAAAAGGAGAGGAGAGACTGGAAATTTGAGAAAACATGAGAATAGGAATGGGTTATGGACCAGGAAAGATTGTCAGGTAGGTCTGAGAGTTTCCTAATGGTATTGGTCATGAATCTAAAGTGAGACTGGGGGTGCCTGGGTGCTGAGTTGGTTGAGCATCTGACTTCGCCTCAGATCATGATCTTGCGGTTCGTGGGTTCAAGCCCCGTGTCGGGCTCTGTGCTGACAGCTCAGAGCCTGGAGCCTGCTTCCAATTCTGTGTCTCCCTCTCTCTCTCTCTGCCCCTCTCCTGCTCACATTTTGGTTCTGTCTCTCAAAAATAAATAAATATTTAAAAAAAAATTTTTTTAAGACCAGTAAATAGGTGACTCTTTTTGTCTTCATCCACATGCAGGCCTGGATAAAGTTACAAATGAAGGAAGAAGTAGATCCACACAGGTATGTCGACTGACTTTTGATAAGGGTGTAAAGGTGAGTAAATGAAGAAAGGATAGTCTTTTCAACAAATGGTACTAAAACAATTGGACATATGAACAAAGGGTTTCTAACAATGTCTCACAATCATAAAATTTAACTAAAAATGAACCACAGAACTAAATATAAGGCATAAAAATAAAACCATAAGCCTTCTACAAACATGGGAGAAAATATTTGTGATGTCATTCTAGTCAATAAGTTCTTAGATATCATATAAAAAGCATGCTCCATAGAAAATTAATAAATTATACTTCAACAAAATGAAAAATTTTTGTTCTGTGAAAGACACTGTTAACAGAATAAAAAGAGAGACCATAGACTAGGAGAAAATATAACAAATGATACAAATCTACCAAAGGACTTACATTTAGAATACATGAAAAACTCTCAAAACTCAACAAGAAAACAACAACCATATTTTTAAATGGGCAAAATCTGAGTATTCACTAAAGAAGATATAAAGAGGGCAAATTAGCACATGAAAAATGCTCTGAATCACTCATCTTAAGAAGCATAGAAGTTAAAATCACAAAGGTTAAAACCACTAAACTCCTACTGGAATTGTAAAAATTGAAAACAAAAAAGAAATAAATACTGGGCAAAAAAAGAATTCTTGTATATTACTTGTGAATGTAAACTGCTATAGGCATGTTGGAAAACAATTTCACAGTTCTTTATAACATTAAATGTACAATATGGCAAAACTAAGGTTCACACAAAATTTCATACATGAATGTTTACAGCAGCTTTATTCATAGTCACCAAAAACTAGAAACAACCCACAGATCCATCTACAGGTAAACAAACTGTGGTTCATAATGCAACTGAATACTATATAGCAATAAAGACGAACGAACTACTGATGCTGAAGTTTACCAGCATATGCCACCCCAAAATATGCCTCTGTTATTCACTGTTTGGCCAGTCTAATTTTTAGGGCCTCAGCCAAAGAACCAAAGATGAGTACAGGAAAAAGATTTTTATTTCCTTAACAACATAAGTAACAACAAAGATGAACCGGAAATGCATGATGATGAGTGAAAGAAGCCAGACTCAAACGGCTACGTACTGCATAATTCCAATTATATGATAATCTAAAAAAGCTAAAACTGTAGGGAAAGAGGATCAATGGTTACCAGACATTAGGGGTGCACCAGCAAATTTTCTGGAATGATAGAACTCTCTGTATCCCAATTGCAACAGTGGTAGTAACATAACTCTACATTTGTCAAAACTCTTAGAAGTATACTCCATAAAAGGTGTACTTTACTGTATATAAATTTTAAAAAGTTTTTTTTAATTAAGAGGTAGATTTAACCAGGGTTTACATTTTGCTGGGCTAATAAAACAGAGGGTAAGATACAGAAAGGACCTGGAATCATTTAAAATAAAAGTGATTTTAATGATGAAACCATGGAATCTTAAGACAGGAAAGGAGAAAAATAGAGGGAGTGAGAGGTAGTAGAAAAGTGTTGGAATCAATAGATTGGTAAATTCTGTTAAACTAGAGACAGAGAAGGTGGTAAAAGGGTTCAAAACAAGTCTCTTCCATATGTGCTATTTTGGTATGTGGACTCTTTTGAGCTGAAGGCAATTAAGACCCTGCAGGGTCAAGAGAACTTTTGCCCTGTCTTAACTACCTAGAAGAATCTAAACTGGGGGTCTTTCTCAGAATTAGAGTTATTATTAGAGATAAATTTTATCTGAGTGACCCATCTGTATGGTAGGGCATACATCTAATTGCCAAGCAGCTGCTCTTCTTATGGCCCTGTAAATTGCTCTCCTCCCTTTGGCAGCCCCAGGCCCCTATCCCATTCTTCAGCTCAGGAGGAATTTTACCTTTCTGTCTATGAACCCCTCATGTATGTGAGGTTTTCATATGTACAAAGTTAGATTTAATTTTCTCCTGTTAATCTGTCTTATGTCAATTTAATTTTTATTTATTTATTTATTTTTTATTTTTTTATTATTTTTTTTTTAATTTTTTTTTTCAACGTTTATTTATTTTTGGGACAGACAGAGACAGAGCATGAACGGGGAAGGGGCAGAGAGAGAGGGAGACACAGAATCGGAAACAGGCTCCAGGCTCTGAGCCATCAGCCCAGAGCCTGACGCGGGGCTCGAACTCATGGACCGCGAGATCATGACCTGGCTGAAGTCGGAAGCTTAACCGACTGCGCCACCCAGGCGCCCCTCAATTTAATTTTTAGACCAGCTAGAAGAATCTTTGAAAAATAGAGAAAAATTTTCCTCTCTGACAGTGGAGATGGAGAATAAGATGCTTCAGGAGATATTCCACCAGAAGTTTGTATAAATGAACTGATACAGGCAATAAAAACCATAGGCTCCTGTTACTGGATTACAGGATAAATATCTCCTTTTCTTTCCAAAGCAGATTACAATCGGTAAAAAAAAATAAAGAAATAAATAAATAAGTAAATAATCTTGTCAGGGTGCCTGGGTGGCTCAATTAAGTGTCCGACTCTTGATTTTGGCTTGAGTCATGATCCTACGGCTCATGGGATCAAGCACAGCATCAGGCTTTGTGCTAACAGTGAGGAGCCTGCTTGGGATTTTCCCTCTCTCTCTCTCTGCCCCTCCCCTGCTCATTCTCTCTGTCTCTCTCCCTCCCTCCCAATAAATAAACTTAAAAAAAAAATTATCTCGTCAAAAATGTGACTAAAAACTAAAGTTACCAGGAGTGACAAAGTGATGGGGACTGAAGTAGAAGGAGGGAAATGGAGAGGGAGAAAGAGAGAGACAGAGAGACAGAGAGAGAGAGAGAGGGAGGGAGGGAGGGAGGGAAAGGAAGATAAAGCAGGAGAGGGCGATCTTATAGATTAAAATATAATTTTAAAATTTTCACTTCTGGGAGTGCCTAGCTGGCTCAGTTGGTAGAGCATGTGACTCTTGATCTCTGGTCATGAGTTCAAGCCCAACACTGGGGATAGAGATTACTTAAGAAAATAAAAAATAAATTAAAAAAATAAAAATTTCCATTTCAGGACAAAATAGAGAAAAGGGGACTGAATTTACCTTCCTGCCTGAAACAACCAAAAACTACACAGAACATATGAAACAATGGTTTTCAAGACACTGAACCTCAGACAACAAAGGACAGTGATCCTTAAAAGGCAGGAAGCAAACAAGATGAGCTCTGTGATTGTACAGGTTATGCCTCTAGAGAGTTTACAAGCTCAGGTGCAGGAAGGGAGAACCCAGGCAGAGGCTGACAGATTTCCTGAGTTGAGGAAACAAAACCAAGACTCCAGGAAAACCACGGTAGCTATACTTCACAGGACAGAGCATCAGAGAGGAAAAAACTGCAAAGAACTCCAAAGACTTGCAGAGGGTCTCACTCCAGAATTCAGAAAAGTTCTGATTAGCAAATGTGTCTGAGGAAACTTCTTGAGGCCGGTGAAAAAACTATTTGAAATGATTATCAGAAACACTGTCTGGTACACAGGTCTGGGAATAGTGCCTACTCCTAAAAACCACAGAGGAAAACCTCATATTCCATGAGCATTAGGTAGAGTATTACTGTATAATAAACAATTTCACTGGACTTTGCTCCTGGTTCCTGAGAGGTAGCCTCTAAACCTTTGGAATTTCCTGAGTGATAGGAGTGTCTGTTATTCAGTGGTGGATCCCTGATAGTCTATGTTAATTTAGTGAATCATAATAGGTCCCTAGATAGTTTATCCTAACAAGATGACCCAAGGTGGGAGCTAGCCATCCTAGAAAGATCAGCCATGTGATAAGAGGATGGGGCTTTGAGGCACATGATATCAGGGGGCTCAAGACTGAGTTCAATCACATGACCAATGACTCAATCATCATGCCTAATAAGGAAACTCCAATAAAAACTCAGGACACAAAAGCTCCGGTGTTTATTCTGTGCATATTGTTATATATCAACATACCAGCAGGGTGACATGTCCCAGAGGGCACAGAAGCTTCTTGGGTGGGGCCCTCCCAGACTTTGTACTCTGTGACTCTTCTCTCCACTGGCCCTAATTTGTATTTCCTTTACTACAATAAAACTGTAATCTATACTATATAGTATAGTATATATACTTTGCTGAGTTCTGCGAATAATTCTAGTGAATTATCAAAACTGAGAGAGTAGTGGGAATGCTAACATTTGTATCCAGTTAGTCAGAAGTATGCGTAGCCTGGGACTTGACCCTGGTGTCTGAAGTAACAACAGTCTGGTAAAGAAATGTGCCTTTAAGCTGTGAAGTTTGGCCTAATTCCAAATAGGGCCCAAAGTCATTACAAGTACTCCGAAGGGTCTCACCTTAGTGCTGAGGAATAATCAGCACTACAGTAAACAAGACTTTGGTTCCACCTTACAAATCTTAAAAATCAAGACTTGCAAGAATCAAACTATTTCTAGGTAAATTAACTGCCTTACTTGTAACAGAACTCAAGTTTACAGGAATACAAAAATACTCACCATGCAGCAAGGTAAAATCATAATCTTTGGCTTCCAGTAAAAAATTTAAAAATATCGGGGCACCTGGGTGGCTGAGTCAGTTAAGTGTCCAATTCTTGATTTTGGCTTGGGTCATGCTCTTACTGTTCGTGAGTTCCAGTCCCACATTGGGCTCTGTGCTGATGGTGTGGGTCCTGCTTGGGATTCTCTGTCTCCCTTTCTCTCTGCCCCTCCCTGCTCATTTTCTCTCTCAAAAATAAATAAATAAACATTAAAAAAAATTTTAAGGGGCACATAGATGGCTCAGTCGGTTAAGCGTCCAACTTTGGCTCAGATCATGATCTCATGGTTTGTGAGCTTGAGACCCACATCAGGCTCTGAATCAGCTCAGAGCCCACTTCAGATTCTGTGTCTCCCCCTCTCTTTGCCCTTCCCCTGCTTACACTTGCTGTCTCTCTCTCTCTCACAAAATAAACATTAAAAAAAATTTTTTTTAAATACCAAGCATGCAAAAGCAGGAAAATACAACTCAAAATAAGAGGGGGAGGGTGCCTGGGTGGCTCAGCTGGTTAAGCATCCAACTTTTGATCTTGGCTCAGGTCATGATCTCAGCTCAGGTCATGATCTCACAGTTTGTGAGATGGAGCCCTGCGATGGGCTCTGTGCTGACAGCACAGAACCTGCTTGGGATTCTCTTTCTTCATGTCTCTCCGCCCCTCCCTCCACTTGCACATGTGCTCACGCTCTCTCACTCTCTCTCTAAAATAAATAAATAAACTTAAAAAAAAAAAAGAGGGAGAATTAATCAATGGAAACTGAGCCAGAACTGATAGAGATGTTAGAATTACCAACAAGGACACTATAGTAGTTACTATATATTCCAGATATTCAAAAAATTAAGTACAAGGAGGATATAGAAAAAGACCTAAGTCAAATTTCTAGAGATGAAAATGACAATGTTTGAGATAACCCCCCAAAAAAGATGTACTTGACAGTTTTAACAATGCAAAATAAGATAGTTGAACAATAATAACTGTCCAAAATGAAACACAGAGGGGAAAAAAGGAGTATTAGTGAGCTGTGAAACAATTTCAAGAGCCTAATATGTCTATAACACAGAGTCCTTGAAGGAGAAGAGGGAGAGGAAAGAAAATGTTCTTTGATGAAAATTATAAACTCACAAAAATAAGAAGCTCAACGAACTCCAAGTATAAGAAACATGGGGAAAAAAAAACAACAACCCTATATCAAGGTACATAATCAAAGTGCTCAAAACCAGTGATAAAAAGAAACACCTTAGAGCAACCAGAGAAGGAAAAAGCATTATATACAGAGGAACAAAGAGGGAAAATAAAGTCCTCGTCTGAAACAATGCAAACCAGAAGAAACAGTAGAGCGATTATTATTCATCTTTAAGGTTCTCAAAGAATACAACTATCAACCTAGAATTCTACATCCAGCAAAAATATCTTTCAAATATGAAGGTAAAATAAAGATGTTAGAAATATAAATGCTGAATTCCTCACTAGCAGACCCACACTACAAGAAATGTTACAGGAAATCTTTCAGGCAGAAGGGAAATGACACCAGATGGAAATACAGATTTATACAAAGAAATGAAGATCACTGGAAATGGCAACTACATAAGTAAAGCTACAAGAGCTTTTCTTATTATTTAAATCTCTTTAAAAGATAACTGAAACTACAACGGCAAGACAGAGTGAGGAAATAAATACAGTCCCAAAAAGCAAGTAAAAAGCTGGGTAAATGTTTTTTTTTTTTTTAAGTTTACTTATTTATTTTGAGAAAGAGAGAATGAGTGGGGAATAAGCAGAGAGAGGAGAGAGAGAGAATCCCAAGTAGGTTCTGCACTGTCAGTGCGGAGATCATGACCTGAGCCAAAATCAAGAGTTGGATGCTTAACTGACTGAGCCACCAAGGTGCCCCTGGGTAAATGGTTTTTTAAAACACAATCATTACAATGCTCTGGAATTAGACCAAAAGCATATAACACACTGAGATGTGTTTCTTCATGAAAACTACCAAACTTCAAGCAAGAACAGTAGAGCTGAGTCTGTGATCTTCTTGCTTGGGGCTGTGCCCTAGCCTTCTTAGGTAGTTCAAGGTAGTCTATGAAATAAACTCTGCTACTTGAAGGATCTTACTTGATTTGGAGTGGTGTCAGCTACAGTGGTAACTTCAATGGTTAGTGAAAAGGGAGGGCCAGCAGCTCAGTTAGCCTGAGGTTTGAGGTAAGTAATGAGCAGGCACATTAGCCAAAGATTTAATGAGGAGTTCTGGGAGGTGAGATAGCCACAGAGAGCTTCATAAACTCTCCAAATACCCAAAATTGTCCTTAGTCGGTGCACACATACAGCAGAGCCTGTGCATGTGCAAAGGAACATGGGAGATCCTAGCAGAAAGGAAACAAAGTATGAATCCCAGTCCATACACAGATTTATCATAAAAGAATGAATGACTTACTAGCTTGAGATATTTGAACACAATCTCTGACCAATCTTGGGCTAAACAATAAGCTACACAGACAAAGAGGACACTTCTATGATGGCAAGCTTAAAATAAAAACAAAATAGAATGCTAGGTGCTTTAATTGTACATTACCTCTAGTCCTCACAATAATCCTGCAAGGTCACTTAGATAGTAAGTGTATATATAATCAAGGGCTGAAATCCTGTACTGTTTCACTCAAAAGCTCCATATATTTTCCAAAGAATATATGTATGTTTTTCATTTCCTACAGCATAAATCTTCACCTGCCTGAAGCAGCAGAGGTATGGCTGTTAACAAAAAATGAAATCCTTCTCTTCCTTCTCCTGTACAAATCCCAGTAAGAAAAAAGTAAATAAAAATTCCCAACTTACTGCAAGAAGATTCATGATGGTATGTCCCGTCTCTCCAAACAATGGCTTCCGAAATCTGACACTGAACAGTGGGCATGGATAAACTATGGAAATGAAAAATAATCAGACCAAACTTGACAGCTTAAAATTTTGGCAAAAGAGGTGTCAAAGTTCATAAAGTTTTCAAAATGTAACTGTAATAAAGCATATGAAATTTAGGGCTCAAAAGTATTTAGCATGGTAGCATCACAGACAAATTCTGAGCCTTCTACAATAAATGCCAAAGTAAATATTCTGATGACCAGATAAGCCTTTTGATGCAGCTTTCTCCAAAATGAACTATAACATCTTAGGAAGCACTCTTCTTCAAACTGGATTAATATGATCCAGGAAACAAACCTCTTCTAATTCCTCTGTATTCATTCTTATACTTCTCCCAACCAGGATCCTCCTTAGAAAAGCCAAACATGAGGTGGCCTATTAACTCACTTACTTATTCCTTGAACTTTATGGAATGAACTACCTATATAAGACAGGAAGATATACAAGTTCTTTCCTCTGGATACAACCCACTCCTTTCCCTACTTCATCTGGATAATTCAAATGAATCTTTCACAATTCAGTCCAGAAACACTTTGTTCTAAGAAATATTTCTTATCCAACTCCTTCATTCTTGGTGAAGTTAGAGTCCATCTTCAAGCTCCAAAAGAACTTTGTTAACTTTGAGCATGTGTTTTAACACAATATACTACTATAATCATGATTTCTGTATGTCTTTCTTACAAAGGTTTCTAAGAGCCTGTAACGTATCTTAGCTATTTCTGAATTCACAGGATTTGTTATAAATGGTAGACCTTTATTAAATTCTTATTGAATGAGCAAGGGAAAGAATGAAGTTGACTTGCTGAAAACATAAAATATACATAAATTTTCTTTATCGTTTTTGATCCTCTTAACAACCTTACATACTTACAGCTCGAGTCACTTGCCCAAAGTTACAGAGCTAGTAATTCACAGAGTTAAGAATCTTATTCAAATGGTCTGATTCCTAGACCTTGCAAGTTTGATTAGGTGAAGGTATAAGGTTTAAAAGAAAGCTTGCATTTAGGCCTGAATGTCTTAAAACTCCCAACTTAGTTGTACTGCTACCACCATGAGCAAAAAAGCTCTTCTACTGCTCTCTTTACCTAAAGTGATCTCTATACCATTAGTTTCCAGTATGTGTTACGTTATGCAAAATACAATTTGTCATACTATTTTCCAATAAAATTACCAAAAAATGTTCACTATAGATACTATAAAAAGTCACTTGTTAAATTCCAATTCATTTTTTCTGAAGATGAGCATATATTTATCAATGAACTATATAAAACCAGTAAGTCTACAAGGTAATAAATAATCACTAATTTCCTCAGTAGAGATTTTTAGTCCTTCACATTAGAGTCAAAATAAGTAAACACAATGGTCAAATTTAGCTTAGCTGTGTCAAAAGATTTCTGCTGAACTATATCACTGGGGGAGGGGGGGTTGCGGGCAAGGGGGGAATCTGAATATTTCAGGTCTTTATTTAGTCATCATGTCTTGGCCATATGGTGTAAAAGAAGCTATTTTACTACTTACGCCGATATTCAGCTCCAAGTCTCAACATTAGTCGGATGGGAAACACTTTAGCCCAAGGAGTTTCCCATTTCTGGATGAGAATCCCAAACAAGTAAGGTGGGGTTGGGAGTACCAGGTCTTGCAGTGACTGGTAGGTAGATGTCACATATAAGAATCCACCATGTTCTTTACTGCCAAGGAAACTCTGACTGAAGAAGGAATGTCCCAAGTTGCCCACAACATTTCCTAAAACAAAAAAGCTCATTAATTACTCCTCATCAATAAATCGATTATATTTTTTATAATCATTATTACCTTAACACTGGGCCACACACTACCAAACACTAATTCCCAACCTTTCACTAAACATGAAAGACCCATGTTTACAAAGTTTTTGAAATAAATGATATTTATTAAATGAAAATTTGTTTTCCAATTTTATAAGGGCCTCTGGTGAGCATAAAATAGCTTATATTAACACACTGTAGAAGTCTGTCTAGCTAAAAGTAAAAAATATTAATGTCTTCCTTAGATTGTACAGCTTTACTGTATGAACTGTATATATGAGACCTTTAGAGGTCTCAGGATAAGAATTATTGCCTCAAAAGTCATGAAAAAAATGTTAAGACTAGGTACCTGCTCTCACAGAGCTTACAATCTCATTGGGTGAATAAAGTCCATTCATGAACACAATGAATTAAGATAATAAGTACAGTTTTGTATGAGACATTAAAGGAAGAAAATCTATGGAGAAGGTAGGATTCATGCTTTGTACTTCTGGGTGAGACAAATATGAAACAGAACTTAGGGCTTATTTAAATTCATATTAGTTTTTTTGTCTACTAAGCACCTTCTAATTCAAACATTTTTTAATGAAACAGTGACAAATCAGCTTTCATTAAGGAGACATTCTCCTCAGTTTAGAATTACAAAAAAGCAAAAAAGCTTCCCAACAGGAGCTGTTCCATAATGGAATAGTAGACATGTTCCCTAGATATGTACAAGCTCCCTCTGATATCTCTGAAAGAAATAACAGCAAATACAGAGATCCTAACCAGAAAACTTAATGCTTCCTTTCCTTGAAAACTACTATCTACTCATGCAACAGTTCAGTGATGGGTCACAGAATCCTTGAGTGAAGTAGGAAGCTATGCTGACAGCAGGGTCCGCAGGTGAAGGGAACACCTCCCCACAAAACTCACAGAAGCCTTGTGGCTGAGAGCCATGTTCACCTGCACATTATCATCTGCCAAATATATTTAGGGGCAGTACTCTTGCCCGAGGATTAACCAAATCTGGCTGCACGTTTGAGCTGCTGGGCCAGATCTATAAAAACAAAAAAATCCCCGTATCAAGGAAGGAGTATGTACTCTGGAAAAAAAAAAAAAATTCACAGATTGTGGAGTCACAGAAATATGGGTTTGAATACTAGTTCAATTACTATTATGTGATTTGGGGGCAAGTTATTTGACTTCTGTAAGCTTCAATGTCTGTGTAAAATGGGGGATTATAAATTTCAGACCTGTTGTGAAGAATAAATGATGGAATATATGTAAAATGCCTAACAGTACATGGTACTGTGTTCTCAAAAAATTATAACTATTATTGTTATAATGCACATATACATATAATGATTAGCCAAACATTACAGAATTTTCTTTGCTTTATCAAAAATTTTAGAATAAGGTTTGTATAAACTTTCATCTTTTAACTTGGAGTAGAGGAAGAATGGGAGATAAAAGAGATGGGGAGTTTTTTTTTCTGCCCACAATGGAGAGTACACAATAGCATTCCTCTAAAGTTCTAATGAGAGTATAATGTTTGTTTTGTAAGACAGCCCTAGTGCATACAATTCAAAGGTGACAACTATGTTGGCTTGGCCCACAAGGTATTCATTCATTATTCCTTTGGCATTTCTTTTTTTTTTTTTTTTAATGTTTTTATTTTTGAAGGAGAGAGAGACATAAGTGGGGGAGGAGCAGAGAGAGAGGGAGACAGAATTTGAAGCACGCTCTAAGCTGTTAGCACAGAGCTGACGTGGGGCTTGAACTCACGAACTGTGAGATCATGACCTGAGCTGAAGTCGGACGCTTAACCGCCTGAGCCACCCAGGCACCCCAGCATTTCATTATTAGAGACTGGAATCTATTACTGGTTATTTTTCCACAGATATTTATTCCCTTTTTGCTTCTACGACCTAACAACCTACTCCTCCTCATCCCATATCCCAATCAAATTCAGATTCGTCACTATGCTCCTTTATATTATAAAATATTTATCCTTTAAGCATCTACTTTCTTTAAAAAAATTTTTTTTAACGTAAATCTCTATCAATCCTAATGAGTGATTTAATTTAGACCCTCATTTACCATCTCATCTAAAAAACAAGTAGCATTTCACAGGTGTTAATACCGACAAAAATAAAACACTGGGTATGAGAATTCGACAAAGATAAGCTTTCACTGAAAACTTAATCCGGGGCTCTTGAACTCATAAAGCCTGTTATATGTTTGTTTACACAGGTACTTCTCTATGGGAACATTCAATACAATGAATCCACTGAATTAATTCTATACACCCCAAGACCACTGAAGAATCCATATAAATAAAATAGATACCAATTCATGCTTCTGTGTTTAAATGACCTGGCAAGGATGTCAAAGGTTTTGTACCAATAGTTTACAAGGCAATTTTACATGGCCTTAACCAGATAATCATCAGATCACTGCCACTAGGTTAACAGAGCAGGTATCATTTCCCTGAACTTTGGGATTTTTATTTTACAGATGAAGAAACTGAAGCTTAGGAGTGGAAGTGAAGTGCCTTGCAATATCATAACTGTCTTTAAAAGTATATAGTAATTTCCAATTTTCCATCTTAATCTGTAATTTAAACGTTGTTTTTCAAAGTGCTTGCAAAGAACTATCTTTAAATTCAATTCAAAAACAACTTAAATATCTATGCAACAACAGCTTCCTTTTGTTTCAAAGCATATTTATCAATCCTCACAACTAACTCAAATGGAGTTTTAAAGAAAGAACTATGAGGAGGGGCGCCTGGGTGGCGCAGTCGGTTAAGCGTCCGACTTCAGCCAGGTCACGATCTCGCGGTCCGTGAGTTCGAGCCCCGCGTCAGGCTCTGGGCGTCAGGCTCTGGGCGTCAGGCTCTGGGCGTCAGGCTCTGGGCGTCAGGCTCTGGGCGTCAGGCTCTGGGCTGACGGCTCGGAGACTGGAGCCTGCTTCCGATTCTGTGTCTCCCTCTCTCTCTGCCCCTCCCCTGTTCATGCTCTGTCTCTCTCTGTCCCAAAAATAAATAAACGTTGAAAAAAAAAATTTTAGAAAGAACTATGAGGAAAAGGAACCCCATCCTTCCCAGCCCCCGCCAATTTTAAAAAAAAGGGCCTTCCCCTCACACCCCTCTCCCCTCTCTTTTCTTTTTAGTCAGGAACCAGCCCACGGCCAGGGCCTCACTGGGGCAGGGACACCCTGGGATGAGTTTCTCTGGGGCTTTATTTTGTTTCGTCAATGTTTTTTTCTCCCACAGTGGGGCTGCGGAGGGGTGGGGGCTTTACAGTCCTGCCCCGTCTCACTGCACTCTCTTCCCAACCCTACCCCTATTTTCGGTGATTTTTGTGTGAGAATATTAATATTAAAAATAAAATCAGAGAGGAGCGCCTGAGTGACTCAGTCGGTTGAGCGTCCAACTTCAGCTCAGGTCATGATCTCACAGTTTGTGTGTTCAAGCCTGTGTCAGGCTCTGTGCTGACAGCTCGGAGTCTGTAGCCTGCTTGGATTCTGTGTCTCCCTCTCTGCCCCTCCCCCACCTGCACTTGTTTCTCTCTCTCAAAAATTAACATTTAAAAAAACTTTTAATAAAAAGATAAAATCAGAGAAAAAAATTCCGAACAAATGCCTCACTTATTTTAAGAAATATTAATATTCATGAATATTAACATAACTAAACATCAAAAGAATTTAAATAGTCCCTTGGTGTTGTTTGTAATACAGTAAACCAAAATTAAGCATGAGTACTTCATTAAAGGTCATTTCCTCAGTTTAGAGCATCTGTGAGATTTACTATGTAACTTCAAAAAGTTCAAGAGGCAGTTTATTGCTTTTTTAAAACATGGGATTTAGAGATATAGCTGAATTCAAACCTGAGTTCAGCCATTTATCATGTATTTGATCTTTGGCAAGTTACTTATGCCCTCATTATGCCCTCAGTGCCTCTCAGTTTCCTCATATGTAAAACTGGGACAAGAACAAGAAGAATCTCACAGAGTTCTAGTTGAGAAGAAATCAAACAGTGCACAGAAAGCAATGAATATATGGCCTAGCATGTAGTAAGTGCTCAATAAATACAAGATATTAGTCTTAAATCACCTCTTCATAAATAATTCCATATTACTTCTCATTGGCTGAAAAATTACTTGCAAAGCAGCAATACCATGGCTCTTCTGCTCATAGAAAGATACAAAATTAATTAACCAAAACAATTTACAAGTAATTGCAAAAAGAGACTAAAAATCTGAACCATGATACAACATTCTTTAACTGGAAAAACAACGCAAAAATATTACTGATGATGAAAACACCAATGAAGTTCTTCCTTCTCTGGAAACACACTTGTTAGGAAACGTTTTTTATTTTTGTTTTTCTTATATTACAGATAAAAAGGTGACTTGCTTTAGAAATACTAAAGATTATAAGCAGTATAATTTTTATGGCCATGAGAAATAACAGCAAGCCACTAAAATCTGAAACAATTACTGGACACTGACTGATCAATCAAGCATTTACCATATAACATGTACTGCTAGAACTGGTCCAAAAAAGAGATACACATAATAAAATATTTTCTAATATGCACAAAAGACTTCCAGTCATTCCACAAACATTTATAGGATATCAATCATGTTTTTATAAGTGTTTTATCAATTATTTATATTCTTTGACAGACTATTTAAAAATCTTTCCCCCCCCTCCTCTAATTCACCTATAATTTTTCTTCTAAATACTTGTGGGGGTAGAAAATTGGCAAGAGACGGTGGTTTAAAAATATCTAAATACATCTTTTCTAACTTAATAGTGAGTATGCATATATATTCTTAGATTGAGATAAACTTCCACATTAAAAAATAAAAGATCAAACTCCATTGTATTTGAGGCCTATAATTTTATTAGTGACATTACAAAATTATTAAAAATAAAATTCATTGATGAATGAAATTTATTAATAACATTCAA